TATGCACATATTTATTATATAAAAATAATACATATATATGTTCAATATATATATTATATCTAAATATATCTAAAATGATATTTAACAACTTTCATATCTGTTTACCATTATAATATATTTTGTTTATTTTTGGTTATTTCTTCTGGTAATTTTCCTTACTACATTAATTGACATTTTTCATACTAAACAGCATGTCCCCCTGAATATAGCTCTCATTCAGTGAAATTATGCTGTCCTATGCACTCACAATAAACCCAAAGACCTACATTAAGCTTATGTTAAATTGTTTGCTCATTGTCACCAGTGTACTCATGACTGTACAGGATAGAAAGTCATTTCCTGTCCCCAGGGGATTAGAGTCACTCAGTGGTTAGCACTGTTCTTTTTGTCTCTTGTTTTGAATTTGGTAATCCTTAGGGGATTATTCTGGTCTGAATGCTGACTGTGAGGAGCTGTTTAGACCTACAGAAATTTTGGTTTTGTTATAGCGATTGCTCACCTTGGATGTAGGCATTCTGAAATAGCTGGGCTCTTAATTACCTGCTTTATCTTATGTATCAGGTCTCGTAATTTAGATTCTTGAACTAAAAGATACTTAGAGCAGAGAAAATTCTACACTTTCTTCATCCACAACGATAGCATACTGCATGTTATATGCACATTTACTTCTACATAGTAAGGGACTGTCTTGAACTACTGGGTTAAATAAATTCATATTTCTTCCTGAAGTTTATGTTGGCAAGAAAAAATACAGGTCTCCTGGAGATGAGCTACATGTCCTTTTAAGTCTTTTCTATCTGATTTTTAGGATTTCTGTGAACCTCAATTCAATTTCTTGGCACTAGATATAGCAGTCTTTTAGGCTAAGATCAAGAACAGCATCAATCTAATATTTGCTTTTATCCGCCATTGAGCCACTTCTCTTTATGGGGAGAGGATAATGGAATCATGGATAGAGTACATGTTTTACTTTAATTTCTCTGTCTGCATATTGTTTTCAATAATTGAAAACTTATGATTTGCTAAATTTAACTTGTACTTTCTTACAGCTGGGCCAAGTACTAATGTTACAAGTCACTTAAAATCACTATCAAATCACATAGAAATTTTGCCTGCCTATTAATGTCATGGTTGAGAGGTTCTGAGCTAGATTGTATTGAATAATAGTGAACTCAAAGAAGTAGCATCTCTGGAAGTAACTTAGGACTGCCCACCCTGCTGCTGATACACTGAAGCAGTTATCCTCTTGTACCTGTATCTTATTTTAATTGGATATTGCCTGAGAAATTGCAGGATTATCTTTTTTGCTTTAAAAGCAAGCTTCTTTGACAACCTGGAATTTATGTGTTTCTTTTTCTAGTGCATAATCATGCCCTGAATTTTTTTCTGAAGATAAATGATATGCAAACCAGCAGAACATTACCTAGAGGGAACTGTTCCCTGGATAGGGTATCTGTGAGGAATGTTAAAAAGGAGCCAGGAGAGGATGATTAATTACTATGTTAATGCACCTACATATAATAATGCATGCCTCCTTATTAAGAGCCATGTAGCACTAATGTACTGTTGTTTTCACAAATTGCCCATTTGTTACTAAGAGGGTCAAACCCAAATACAAGATCTCCATACACGCCCATGTTTTCTTCATCCTTGTCCCATCAGTCAAGAATATAAGCAATTTGTTGTCTGGAGGACTGGCTGCCAGGGGAGCTATATGTCCATCTGATGTTGTTTTAACACACAAGGCTCCACAAGGAATATCCATCTGCTTTTCATCCTGAATTTGCCTATGTATAATTACTGTGCTTGGTGATGCTTAACTAAAGGTGAATAGAAACCTGTTTCCAACTGAATGTTTTCATAGGATCCACATCAGTAGGAGGATGTGAACAGCCTTGGAGTTTAGAAAAACTGCTTTTAAAAAGGTGGCTTCTGAAAATTCTTTTATTTTCTTGAATTCATTAAACTTCATCTACTGCTGAAATGCAAGGACTTCTGCAAACAAGTAACAAAATCAGACTAAGTCGCCTTCATTACTAAAACTTTGGAGGACTCAGTGGAATATTTTGGAGCCCCCCTGCAGCTGCTGGTTTTGTTCCAGTTGCAGGTGGCCTGCACCATCAAAGCCCAGTAATGCTTCATGTGCAGCTCTGACCTTTTTTTCTCTTCTGATATGTCCTTGTGTTATGCAGGTGAGCCTGCTCACTCCTCAGAATATGTGATATTGTAAGTAAGAGGAAAGTATTTCCCTGAAGACACCAGTGAAGTTCACTGTGTAGGGAGCAGCTTGGAATTGCTTATATTCTTGATGCTTCACTGCATCATTAGCAAAATCAAAATCTGAAGACTCAATCAAAATCGAGAGCAACCAGCTCTGTGCCCAGAAAACTGAACTCTGGTAGCTTCTCAGGTAAGAAGAGCAGCACTTACTGTGTAACACCATGTAACACCAGATTTTCAAATATGGTCTGTTCAAATTACACACACTGGAACAGACACTTTCACAGAACCTTTGCAGCTAACACAGCTACCCAGGCGAGAAGAAGGAGCTCTGTTGCTGTTCTTCTCTGGAGTGTCTGCAACCATTAGCAATCATAGAAAATCTACCGTGGTTACCTGTAGTAGGAAAGGACTAGATCAGAGCACTAAGATCACTACTTTTGTGTTGCACTTGCAAGTCCCGCATTTGAAGGAAATTAAAAAGTCACCTTAAATACTCATTTGTGCATACAAATGTAGGTTTTAAACACGAAGAAGCCACATGAAATCAGAAGGAATGGTTTAGTGTCCCTGTTGAATCCTTCTTGGTGGTGTCTCTTTTTGTATCTAACCTTTGTGACATTGATAAATTTAGATTGAAAAGTAGGAAGTTTAGGAGCTCACTACTGGAAATGTGGAGTGAGCTTCAGCCAGTGCTCAGCTTTAATCAACCTGCTCAGTGCGGGTTTTGTGTAAGAAAGAATATATTCCTTTAATATTAGAGTAAGAGAACTGAAATTAGCTCCTTCTAAGGGCTTTGAGCCCCAGGAGTTTTACATTAAAAATGTCCATGGAAGACAGTGGACATTTTCAGTACCAGAGGAATGCAGGGTTAAGTCCCAAGAGCTACCTATTACTGACTAGATAACATCAGAATGAACATACACAATGTTATATTGCACCAAATATCACATTTAATTCCCCAGTTTTTACACTTTACTGTGTGCGGCGCTTGCAGCTCTGAATAACGTTCTTATTTGGTTAGATTTATATACACAGTAAAAGGGGAAGTAACTGCAGCTGTACTGCTGTCAGCTACACAGCACGGCACTAACTGTAGGAATTCACAGTGTGGGCTCTATTTCTGTAAAATACTATGAATAATTCTACAAAACACTGCAGAATCCAGCTCTCTGAACCTCATTCAAACAGATTTCTGACCCCTTCTGGAAGCACAACTAGTGTACATGTGTCAGTGAGGGTCAGGGTGTCTGAGCAGGAAGAACAGTTATGTTGACTCTCGCACTATATATCAGAATCTTCTTGGGTAATGGGCAGTTTCTTGTCCCTTGTGACCCAGCTAAGACACAGGCACTGTATTTAGTGGCTTGCACATTTAAAGAAACTGATGATGGCAACCTCCAGAAAGTGGGCAAACTGCTCAGAAATAGTAGTAGACATTGAAACAGCTGCAGAAATCCCAGGGAGGTCCTTGCTTTATGTGGGGTACTGCAAAGAAATAGTTTTGTCATACCAGCTCCATCAGCACATCAATAAAACTTTGAAAAATTATTTTTTTCTTTGTTCTCATTACTATTCACCACCAAATGCTTGCATTTTGAGCTTGCATGTGCTATTGCTCTGAATTGTTGCTGCTACTGCGAGTCTGCATGCAACACAAAGCTGACAATGTTTCAGCATGTTAGTCTACTAGTATTCCAAGGTGAAAAAGAAAAAATAGGACAAAGAGGAAAAACAATAAATACTGATGCATGTCATAATGAAAATGCAGTTCAGTCTCTAAGCCTTCTTCCACTTACTATAGCATGTAAATTTTTCCTAAATTGTACATGAAATATGAACATTTAAGTCCAGATCCTTAGCTGGAGTACTCTGCTTCCCTCCATCGGTCCCAACAGACACACTGATTTATGCCTGCTGACATTTGAGCTATAATAATTGCTGTTAACATTCTTGGACTGTATTTAGGTTTAGGTTTTAGTTTGTTTTCAAACAGCTGAAAATTTTGGGATTTCTTAGCGTAACTGCAGGGAGAACTGCATGATGCTATCCTTGTAATTGCTATTCAAACAATGCTTTCAGTAATTACTGGCACTATTTGGATTACGGAAAGCTAATCTAAATTAAAATGGGCATGGAAACATTGCTTTACAGTGTGCGATGCTCTTAAAGACATCTCCTCTCCTCATGCACACTGCAGCACTGGTCACTGAATCCAAAGGCAGACATGGGCACAGGCCCTGAGATGGCAGAGCCGTCATGGCCCAGCAGTGCCTCAGACATCCTCTGCCACCTTCTTGCCCAGACTGGTCTTCTCTCAGACTGTATGGCACTGTTTTTCAGTCCACCACATCCTCGTGCTTCTGCGCCCTCCTTCCAACCACCACCTGGGATGTCTGCATTGTCAACTCTGTACTTCAGTGGTGCTACTAACTGGCTGGACATGCTGCAAAATCCTGAGAGGATCAGGTGGAGCCGTTAGGCTGACAGACCCCTCCTCAAACAGGCCCCTTCCCAGGTGCCTTGCCACCGGTACCGGTAAGCTGCATCCAGGGTAGGGGCTGTGAAGGCAGCTCCCCGCGGCCCTCCCTGCCCCAAGCCCCATGAGCAACGCAGGCCTACTCTCCAGTCAGTTGACACACAGGTCCGCCGAACCCCTGCCCCCAAACCACCGCTGCTGTGCCAGTGCTGCCCACGGGCAGCCTGCGAAGGGAAAAAGCCGCCCGCACCTCCCCATGAGACCATGAAACAACGCTGCTACAAGTCCCCCACCGAGGAAAGATGGCGCCGGGCCAGGGTGAGCACTCCCGGGGGAGGAGCTCGGCGCTACGCCAGCCGCCAGGGCCCCGCCCCCGTTCCCTGGGCGATGGGGACGCGGACCCGCGGGCAGCATGGAGGCGCTAGGGCAGGTACGCCCCGGGCTGCCGTGTGTCTCACGGGCGTTCTGCCGGCGTCGCTTCACCTCGAGGCACCGGGGGGCGGTGTAAGGGGCCGCGGCGCTGGCGCCGCTGAGGCGGCGTGCTGCGGGGCAGGGCTGGGGCAGCGGGTCCTGCGCCCTCTCCCCGCAGTGCCCCAACGCTCGCCGTCTTTGCACCCTCTTATTTTTACAGTGCATTTTAAATATCTTCACTGAGCTTCGGAGAAGGTAAAAAGGGTGGGGTGTTTAAAAATGCAGTGTGGGTATACATACCTGCGTAACCTTAATCCCCAAGAGAGTTTAAGGGGAGGCACCCGCCCGCCACAGCGGGGCAGTTCCCCCCCCAGAAACGGCCGGAGGCTTTGGCTGGCACGAGCCCGGCCGGGTCCATCTCCTGCCTCGCCTTTCAAAAGCGACTGGTGAGCTCCTCACCCACCTTCCACTTCTCCCACAGTGCTCGCCGGTTTTCAGTCAGTTGTGGACTCTGAATTTCAAGTATATTGCTATTTCTTTGTTTATTGGGTTTGTGTGGCAAGGTTTGAGTTGTAGGGAGGCTACAGGGGTGGCTTCTGTGAGAAGCTGCTAGAAAGCTCCCCCATGTCCAGTTGCGTCAATGCCAGCCAGCTCCAATGCAGGCCTGCATCAGCAACAGTCATATAACAGGTTTCGGAAGGGGAAAAACACCCACACAAATACAGGACCCACACTGGAGCAGTTTAGGTAAGACTGTCTCCCGTGGGAGGGACCCCACACTGGAGGAGGGGTCCTGCCCTGAGGAGGAAAGAGTGGCAGAAACAACGTGTGATCAACTGACCAGCACCCCTATTCCTAATTCCCCTGTGCCATGGTGGGAGGAGGAGGTAGAGAATCTGGGGGGAAAGTTGAGCCTAGGAAGAAAGGAGGGGGGGGGGGGGGGGGGAGATGTTTCAAGATTTAGTTTTTATTTTGCATTACCCTACTGTGATTTGATAATAAATTACATTTATTTCCCCAAGTCAAGTCTGTTTTGCCTGTGATAGTAATTGCTGAGTGATGTCTCGCTTGCCCCTATCTCAACCCTTAAGCCTTTTTTTCTTTCCCCTGCCCAGCTGAGAAGGGTGAGTGATAGAGCAGCTTTGGGTATCTAATGTCCAGCGTGGGTTAGCCACAACACTGCTTATTTGTAGTGGCAGGAATCTCATAATGTTTGTTTTGTTGAGGGGAAAGCGTACAGTTTCCCTTTAAAGAGAAGTGAGGGAGCAGAAGCAAGCTCACACCTTGTTTCTGGTAACATCACAGTTATATTTCTCACCTTACATTGCCTTAGGTAGTCACAGTGCTCTAGAGATTTTCATAAACCCATGTCATTCTCCTTAACTTTTTTTTTTTGGGGGGGGGGGGGGTGCGGATTTTTTTTATTTGTTTTGTTCGGGTGTTTTTATTTGCATTGCAGTTTTTAACTCGGGTGTCAGAGGTGTTATTTCTGACAGGCAACTCCTCTCATGCTGCATGTCAAGAGAACCATAAGAATAGAAGTTATTCCTCCCAGGAATGTATAAAGTGTTGCATCAGCTCAGAATTTCTCCCTCAAGTCTGTCTGTATAGCTGTAGCTACTAGAAGGTAATTTGCTTCTAGTTAAATTGCTTTGTTTTAGATGACTGAGAAGCTACTGTGACTGTTGTGGAAGTAACTGCTTTCAGCCAGTGTAATAGTTGTATCTGTTGGCACAAAGCTACCCTAATGGTTGTTGGAAGAAAAGCTTAATATTTAGGTTTCCTTAAAGAAATAAATTCTCTTCCATGTAAAATGTATTATTACGTATTTTAAATGTTTAATGAAAAATATATGCATCTTTCACCATATTCTCTGTTAGTGTTCTCAGTAAGTATTTTGGCAGTCGGAACAGGTTAATGCAGGTCAGTTAGATCATAGTAAAAGGATACAAGGCGTACTGTATGGGAAACAAGAGGCTGTCAAAAGTACATTGTACATCCTTTTGAAATATACCACTGAAATTATTGTCAGTTTTACTTTGTGGCTTTATAAAAAGAATCTTTAGAGGAATTCAGGGAATGTTTTCAGGGGGGGTTCTTTGGTATGGGTTTTTTTCTTTTGTTTTTTTTTTTTTTTCTTCTCACATATGTTGTGTTCCTTATTCAAGTTGGTTTTGCACACAAGGTAACCTTTCTGATATTTCCTGCTATCCATTATGATTTATTTTTGTGGTAAGATCTGTGGATTTGTGCAATTTTTATAAATTAAATTATATAGTCTCTAGCTTTGGCTGAGGCAAGCTTTGCAAGGTCTATTTCTAAAGCTGTAGGTAACACCGTATTATACCACTGTTTTTGTTACATTGTTTCTTAGATCTTGAGATAATTCCTTTTGATTTAAATTGAATATTTTTATAATTGTTCTGACTTGAAATTACTTTCAGTAGAAAGTATGTTGGAAAAATCCAAACCCTCATCTCAGCAAGTCTTGCTGATGCTTTATTTTTAACATTTTTTTCCAGTATGTAGTCTGCAGCTGTGAAAACATCAGTAAAGTTTAATGTCATAATGCATTTGGTTATCCATAAATCTTGATCTTTGGACTGTGTGAAATTTTTGAAATATATTTTGTTATTATGAGGACACTGTTGTTGTCTCGTGTTTATAATGGTCCTCTGCAAGCTTTCCTTCCATATACATTTTATTTTTTTTTCATTTGACGTATCTGCATATTTATTTTTTCAGTGTAGTTGAAATTAGTGTTACTGTTTTTATTTCCTCGTTTGTTTGACAACAAAAGAAATATTAGGACTAAAAATAGCAACTATTGATTTCAACTTCCCTTTGTGGGAGCGGACAAGTGGGGCCTTTTTAAAACAAACAGGAACAGTGAACACATTTAATGTATTTTTGTTTCTGCCATAACTATTTATGTAGACAGCTTCAAGATTTTCTGCTTCTGCTGAAGTATTTGACAGCTTGATAACAAAATGTGTATAATAATGCAAATAACAGCCTGTGTTGCTGGTGTGAGGTTTTTTGTTGTTTGGTTGGTTTTTTTGTGTGGTTGGGTTTTTTTTACCCTTTCCCATTTTGATTAAAGTTGTAACTGATATGCAACACTCTTTCAGTGTACATCTGTACTGCTGTCAGCAGTATTGCTCAGATGGAGGTAGCTGAACTAGCTTTAAACGAACTAGCTTAGATACTGGAAACTATCTAGATATAGCAGGCAGAGTTGAGTCCAATTTCACTGATGGAGTGAAGACAGGAGGATCTTGGGTTCCTTACCCTCTGGGTATTTGCTATAATTTAAGAGATCTAGTAAGCTATTCCTTTGTGAATATTTTTGATAGCCATGATTTTGCAAAGTGTAGTGGTGTTTTGTCAAATGAATGGAAATAATACCATCTTCAGTGACTGCAGAGGGCTCATCCCAAAGGACAAGCTTATTTCCCCTCAGGGACACTGATGCTAGTTTCTATTGCTGTGTTTCAAGGTTTTGCCATCCTGGAAAGGCCCTCACCCAAACTGTAGGGATGACTTACTTTGGGCTTGGGGTTTTGAGAGAGAGTTCTTCCCTTCCCCACGCCAAACACAGAGACTTTTTACAATTTGCTATATAACTATACCACTCTTCTGTTGATATTTACTGCTTCAGTGAATAATGCTGAGAGATTCAAGGAAGATTTTCTTCTTCTGGTTTAGAATATTTGATTTGGTATTTTGATTTGATGCTGTGGACAAGGGGTGCCCAAAGCATTTGGAATAATGTTTTGAATGTCCAGAAATATATTATACAGTTGAAACTGCTGATAATTCTTTGAAGGAAAAACAGTAACAAATAATTCTCTAGTACTCTGTATTTAAATACGTTAAGTCTACTGCTGGGAGTGTGTATTGGTAGGCTTGGTTTGGCCCGGGGTTTTTCCTCAACACAGGAGGATTAGCATTACCAGAATTAACTCACCTTGGATTACCTCAGTCAGTCACTACAGTTAACAGTGAAATGAACGATAAATTCTTTGACATCACTGAACATGTGTATAAAATACCTTCTCTTTGAATTTTTAGTGGTAGTTAAAGACAGCAATCAAAAGACAAAACAGTATTGAATCAAAATACTTGTAAGCTTTTAGCCGTGTGTATGTTCTTCCGAGACAGAAACTTTCCACAAATACAGGATTGTTTAAATGAATCATGGACTTTCACTATTTTTTTAAATTACAGAAACATTGATATTATAAAAATTAATTTTCTAAATTATGTGCTCTTATAGTTCCTTGTTAGTTATTTAGAACAGAAAATCTTATCGGATACCTGTGCATGTACTAGACAGTGGTGCCACAAATCCATCCTTATGAGCAGTAACAAAGATAGTAATGCATTACTGGGGGGTATTGCTGCTGGATATATCATTGAACATGCTAGGTGATGAAATAGGAAGCATTCACCTTGCCATGTGAACGCTTGGATTTTGATGTGCATATTACAGAGCCTTATCTGCAATACTGAGTTGCAACAGCTTGGATATCTTAAACTGCAAAATTTCGTTGGTCAAAGAGTATGTTTCTAATGCTAGAGCACCTTTAAGTGTGTGACTGAGTGCAAGACACCTGGAGTTATTTTTAGATTAACTTTTGTAATCTTATACAGTTTATATATTGATGTAATACAACACTACATACTAAGACTTCAGCAAATTTTCCCAGAGGTCCTTGCTGTTTGTAATTCAGAGAACAAGATGAACCTTAGCATCAGAAAGTTAAGTGTGTTGGGCCTGTCAGTACGATATAGGTCAGAAAGCTTCATACAGAAGTAAGCCAGGTATGTACTGGAAGCAGGAGAATATTCATATTTAGACAAGCTGTTTCTGACATGATGGATGTTGCCTGATACCTTTCAAAAGCAGTGAGAAATTTGGGTAAGATTCTTGGGAGTTCAGATAAAAAGTTGGTGTCCAGAATGTTCAACTTTTTGCTTACTAACCTGTTCCTTACAGCATGAGGTGTAAGGAGGGGGAAGGAGAAAAGAAAGACTTCTGATGCACCTCTATTTAGAGGAGTACTGCTATGATCTTGAACGGTGGAGGAGTGTCATGCAGGTAACTGATAGTCTTATGGGAGGGGCTTTGTTCTTACAAACACCTGGCCTGTAACAGCAGAGGAGAAGCTGAAAAACAGCTTGATAAGAACAAAACCATGATACCTTGAACTTTCTTATGCTTTTCTGACAATATAGTGCTAAATTCCCTGTGCTGTACTGGTAAAGTCCATCTGGGGTGATACGTGTAAAATGTTAACATTATGTCTTAGAAGAAGCATGGTCAGTAAAATGTTGAATGACTGACTGGTAATATACCATTTATGTAATGATGCAAAAATACATAGTAGAGTACCCTATGTATTGAACAAACTGAGAGAGATGAACAGGTATTAATTCATTTTCAAAAACATCACTATCAGTTATTCCTTTAACTCAGTTCTTTTAACTTCACTACTTCTACTCTTGTTCAACAAGTTTCTAACACACTGGTCACTTCAGGAAAGTGTTCATGTTTTTCCTGATTATTGAAAAATATCTTCCGTTAATCATATAATACTAGCATGTTGAGCTATTCCTTTTTTTTTTTTTTTTTTTTTTTCCCTAGCTAGGGCATGCAGATTCAATTACATCAGAATTACTGACTGTACAAGTACTTCCTCTTATACTGCAAGAATTATTGCTGGTAAAACAAAAGCAAACTCTAACTGTGCTAACTATGTGAAGGAAGTCTTAGTTTACTTCGTTCCTGTTGTTCTGATGAGACATTGTATTTGAGATTAACTTCTTTATAGTTGGGAACAATAATTTTTCATATTACAGTACATGTGAAAGTATTCTAGTACTTAGAGGAAAACAACCTAATCTGTCCACTAAATGTTCTTTGTTCTCTCAGTCTTGTTTCATCAGTCTTGCATGTTGCCACTCAGCTACTCCAAATTTTAAGTGTATCTTGCAGTTTGGCAGCAGCAGGGGGAGTAGTGTAGCTTTATTTGGGGGCTCTCCTTCCCCAATGCTAGAGTTAGTTAGCCCAGAACAATGCTGCTCAGGCTCAAAAATCAGATCGTGGTAGGAAATCTTCCACTTTCTCTAGGTGGGCTAGAAACATTATTTTGCAAGTTTTGCCTTGCTGCACATCTGTAAAGCCCAAGTCCCACAGATGCGGAAGTGTACCTGCTGTGAGTGAAATACGATCAGGTTTTTAAGTCCTTGTGCAGAAGCAGGTCAGGCCAATTAGACCCACAGTCATGTGGCTGGAGGGATTCTTTGGACATGAACTGGTTCAACTGGCTGCTCGGAGCTCGGCTGGCAGTGAATGCAGGCCAGGGCTTTGTCCAGTTCAGTCTTGAAAACTTGAAAAAACGGAGATTCTTGCACCTTTCTGAGTAACCTATTCCAATGCTTAATTATGTTCATAATGAAATATTTTTCCTTGTGCTGTCACATGCTAATGCATTGTAGATCCCTTTCAACTGGAATATTTTATTCTATGACTAATGTCCCTTGTTCCACTGCCATGCCTCTCTGTAAAGAGTCTGCCTCCTTGCATTTTATAATGTTCTTTGACACCTCACTTTGTTGCCTGCATATTTTGTTGTAAAACAGCGTTTTTTTCCTACTGCTTTATTTATTTCATAGATTTCTTACTGAAGTCTCTGTTTTTTTGGTCAGTGACACACCCTAAGAAACAAATTATCAAATTACTCTATTTTTCATAAGACATTATTCATAAGGCATTATTGATTCATGCTTACTTTGGTATCCTCGTAACATGTACATCCTTTTATTTCTTATAAGGAACTTCCTTCTGTATTACAAATATATTGACCTTCCCTGAAACAGTAGCGTCAGATTCTCACATGTTTCATTGTGCTGCAGCAAACATCTTGGACTTCTTTTTTTTTGGCCTAGGGAAGGAGTTGGTGTAGACAGTAGATTTGAAAATGCAATCAAGTTCAGGGTGTAGAGCAAACAGTATGGTAATGTGTATGTATACTCATAATATCCTAACCAGAAAATGATTTTAAAATTTAATTACTGTGCAGTTTAGTATCATGTTGGTCAAATCTAGATTCATAGATTTTTTTTTTGGCTTTTAGATTTGTTGGTTTTACTTGCAACTTAATTTAATCTTGTGCAGCACATAATATGTCACTGTTCCCACATGAATTTAAAATAAAAATATTGTTTTCCATATATCTGCCTAGCTTTTCTCTAGTCAAAAATAGTTAGGGTATTGTGTTGTTGCCATATAATTTTAGCTGTATTACATTTTTGGCATTTGTTGAATTAATTCTTTACATACTTCCCCTCAAAAGAAAAATGTTATTTAAATAAGTTACTGACATTATAAAATAAAGCTTTTAAAATTATATTTCTGTATATATATGTTTGTGTAGGAAGAAGGCCAAGATCAGGATGCCACAAGTGGAAAGAAGGTTATTAGTCGGACATTTCTTTCTTTTTCCCAAATTACTGCTTTGTCAGAACAAAATGAGGAAGAAGTTCAAAAGTAAGAGGCAATGATAATAATTCTAGAACCAATATAATAATGAAACAGAAATTACAGACTATTTGTTAGATTTCTTTTGTGATAGTTACATCATGAGTCTTCAGGGTTTTTTTTTACTGTATTTCCTATATCGTTTGATTTTACTTTTACTACTTTCCTCCCACCCCTCCCCTTGTATTTAATGTTTATATGGTTTCTGAGTTTACAATAGTATTAAATATGCTGTAAATGAAATACTAATATGTAAATAAGAACAGGCAAATACTGAGCTTTTTTTATAAGTCTTACTTGGTAACTTTTTTGCTAAAGCATGTAAGATTTTGTACTCTAAGTTAGAGTTACTGAAAAATCAGAAAGGTCTGAAAAGTTCAGGAAGGAATGGAAAGCTGAAGAAGGTATTAGTGGGTAGCCTTTATGGTGCACTGGGGAAATAGAAGGCAGACAAAGACTTTTGATGTACGCCCAGCTTGTCCTTTGTGTAGCAACATTCTCCTTTGTTATTAGTGCTTAATAGCGGCTAAATTTAGGAGGCCAGGAGTTCAACCTGAGACTGCAGGCTTATATTTTAAGGATGGGACTTTTCAGAAGGGCCCAAATTATTTAGGAGGACTTGTGTCCTCTAGCAAATTCTTAGTGAATTGAAAGTCAATGGGCTGGTCCACTGGACTAGGTTAGAGAGGGGTGATAAAAAAATTGAACCTTGTCCCTCTGAGTAAATAAACTATTTATTAAAGGTTATAATATTATTAATGATATATATTCTTTTTCTCCTATTTTTCACTGTTCTGAGAAAATGTTCTTTCTGGGATACTTTTTTAAATAAAACTGGATAGAAAATTTGTTCCCAACAAACAATTATAATTGTTTAAAAATCTCTCATTTACTGTTTTCTCTTGCATGATAGGCTTCTTATTTTAGAAGAGACTGAAATGTACAACTTGGGACTAAAATGCGTTAATGATGCAATTTATTGTGAAACTTTCTCATTAAGATTAAAAAGAAAAGTATTGAAAATTTGTGCATGTCTTCTTAGTCTCAACTGATCACATGTGTATATATACACACTGGAATAAGTGGAATGTAAAGTATATACTGCATCTGACTGAAAAAAGGATAGTTACAGGGCACTTTATGGACTCTAAGCAGTTTAGCAGCAGCACTGGAATTTTGTTAGTTTACCACAGTGCATCATGTATCACAGTATCACAGTATGTTAGAGATTGGAAGGGACCTCAAAAGATCATCTAGTCCAATCCCCCTGCCGGAGCAGGAACACCTAGATAAGGTTACACAGGAACGTGTCCAGGCGGGTCTTGAATGTCTCCAAAGAAGGAGATTCCACAACCTCCCTGGGCAGCCTGTTCCAGTGTTCCGTCACCCTCACTGAGAAGAAGTTTCTTCTCAGGTTTAAGTGGAACCTCTTGTGTTCCAATTTGTACCCATTTCCCCTTGTCCTTTCATTGTTTGCCACTGAGAAGAGCCTGGCTCCATCCTCGTGACACTCCCCCTTTATATATTTATATACACTAATAAGGTCACCCCTCAATCTCCTCTTCTCCAAACTATAGAGACCCAGCTCCCTCAGTCTTTCCTCATAAGGGAGATGCTCCACTCCCTTAATCATCTTAGTTGCCCTGCGCTGGACTCTCTCCAGCAGGTCCCTGTCCTTCTTAAACTGAGGGGCCCAGAACTGGACACAATATTCCAGATGAGGTCTCACCAGGGCAGAGTAGAGGGGAAGGAGGACCTCTCTCGACCTACTAACCACCCCCCTTCTAATACAACCCAGGATGCCATTGGCCTTCTTGGCCACAAGGGCACAGTGTCGGCTCATGGTCACCCTGTCGTCCACCAGGACCCCAGGTCCCTCTCCCCTACACTGCTCTCTAACAGGTCGTTCCCCAACCTATACTGGAACCTGGGGTTGTTCCTGCCCAGATGCAGGACTCTACACTTTCCCTTGTTATATTTCATCAAGTTATTCCCCGCCCAACCCTCCAGCCTGTCCAGGTCTCTCTGGATGGCAGCACAGCCTTCTGGTGTGTCGGCCACTCCTCCCAGCTTAGTGTCATCAGCAAACTTGCTGATAGTACACTCAATTCCCTCATCTAAATCATTGATGAATATATTAAATAATACTGGTCCCAGAACCGACCCTTGAGGCACTCCACTAGTTACAGGCCTCCAACTAGACTCCGCCCCATAGACTACAACTCTCTGGCTTCTCTCCTTCAGCCAGTCTATACATAAAAGCAGTTTGAAGGCCACAGCTAAGGTTAGAATATCAGAATGGATCTGATTCAGTATAAGAATTTTGATATCCTGCATTCGTATCTATCATGGAGTTTTATACTGCTGTCCATCTCTGTAGTACCTGAGCACTTTCCACAAAGGAAGAGATAGCAATCAGAGTAACAAGGGAATCTAAATGACCCATCATTTCCCAGTCATTTATAGATACTGTTGTCAGTAACATGCCTTACAGAATATTGAAAAAATGAGTACTGGCATTGTTAGCAGCATCAGAGAAAAATCTAAATCCCTGAGAAGCTCTGATTATGAAAACACAGAGTTGGCAGGAGCTTCAGAGAGGATATGGACTGTTTCAGACCTTGGAAAGTTCAGCTGGCCATGTTCCACTTCTATTTCAGTACACAGTTAAGTGTTTTTAACCGACTTGCATTTGTGCAGCCATGCAAATTTGTCATGCAAGAAAAAAGGAATACATTTTAAAACTGATTGGATTATGTGGTTTACTTTGTTAGCTATTGAGGCTTTAATTTAAAAAAAAAAACCAACAAAAACCAACAACTCATTTAATAGTGTATCTCTACTGGCTTGGTGTAAACCCTGAGAAATTTCTGCCGATCAGTAGGTCTGAGATTAATGCCCTTCTTAGGAAGGGATGGGGACACGCACACACACAGAAAGACTTTGCTTTCTTACAGGGGAAAACTGTGATGGCAATTAGCATTTGCATTGTCTGGTATAGTTAAGAAGCCAAGGACTGCTTTAATATAAAACTTAACTACCTGAGACATGGCTGAATTTATACTGGCAGAACTGCAAACTGAAGTTCTAGCCCCGATCTCTTTTCTTCACCTGGAAAAATGTACACAGTTATTATGAAAGACATAACTAATTCTGTGTTTGGATGGAGTAAACATAAATGTATCAGCAATAGCATGGTCTCCTACAAGAGAGTGTATTTTTTCATTAGTTTTTTAAGTTAAGTGGAAAAATTTTCCACAGTATGCCAGTAAAATAGGATGAGGCTCTTAAATGTCTTGACTATTAGGAAAGTGGAATTTAAACTCCAAAATATTTTACATACTTTCAATAATTATATATTATCTACATTCATTTTCAAAACTAATTATTCTTTGGAGGTGACATAAAAAAATAACCTTGAAAGGGAAGCAAGATCCTTTTAGTGTACTGTCAAAGTATCTCAATCTGAGGGAAATAGTGATAGCCAAAAGTGGAGACTTTCATTTCACCTTACAAACACCTTCCAGAACAAACTGATTTTTCCCTGGGATTTTCAATATATTTCTTTTGGGGTTTTGTAATGTTCTTATTTTTGTTATTTCATTAAACATATCTTAACATTTAGTGTCTGTTGGAGCCTGTAGGTGTTTGTTTTTCAGTTGATATGTCCTCTTATTGTTAATATTCATATCTAGAAATTGATGTGGCTAAGTTCCAGGAAAATACACACATATATAAAATAACAATGTATATTATAGATATAATTACAAGCAGACCAAGTTAAACTTTGGAATCTGTAGTTTATTTTAAAATTTCATTATTTTAATCTTCAATTTCTTCTAGAAGCCTGAAAGAATTTCTGAATTTTAAACATTTAAATACATCTTTCAAAGAAGCTATTTTGCTAGATTATTATACTGCAGGTTTTTGGTGGGCTAAAGAAATGAACTTCAGCCTTATACAGCTCTCAGGATTCATGGATCTGTTAAATTTCCTGTTGGAGAACCTCAGTGGTAAGTATAATTAAAAACTGTAAAATAAATATCTGAAGTGGAAGGCAAGAATGTTTTCCAGTCATTTTAATGAAGCAATATTTATTACAAGTAATCTTTAAATTATTTGTTTTCCCCTTGAATGCTGGCATGTTATACTGGTACCTGAAAATAACTCTTATTGGCAGTTATTAAACTTTCCTTAAAGATAAATGTAGTCTTTTTAGCAGAATATCACTAATTATTTGCTTGTACAGTCAGTAGTACAAAACCACCACGTCCTAAAGAGACCTCATCTTTGCTATGGTAAAATAAATAATAATTACAGTAGAGTAAGAGCAAGGAGCTCCTAAATTCCAATTCCAGCTGTCTCGGTGACTGACTCACTGTAGCCTTGGGTATATTTCTCTGCTTTTTGAGGTATTGAGTACATCCTGTAGCATTACAGCAGGTGAATTACATTTATTTTATCCTTGGAGGTCAACTCTCAGGCAGATTTCTATATGGCAAATGCTGCGCTTCTGGCACAAAATGTATTGGTTAACTAAAAACTGGTGAGAGAAGTAAACTGGCACCACTGCTGAGAATGAAAAATGACAATGAAAGGACTGTAGCTCCTGTGACTACGAAGAAATTTGCAACAAAGCATGTAGCTTGCATCTAGTGGGAACAAAATAGCCAGAAAAATTCACAGCAGCATCCTCTAAAATCCATTTTCCGGAGATCACAATGCTTACTTAACATTCATTTTGAAGGTGATTATGTTGAGAAAAGTCGATCCCAGAGGAAGAGTGAAAGGACTCAGCAGTTCCATCCAAAGAGATGAATATTTAAAATCAAACTCATAATAGTTATTATACTGTTTGATTGTAATTGAATTCAAGAGACTTTCTGACTTGGAATTTTGACAGAATATGTACGTGCTTTATGATCATTGGAATTCCAGTTGTCCTTCCTGTCTCCAGTGAGAAAGTATCTTAACATATGCTAACTAGATTAATATAGCAATGGAGAAGAATGGAAACGTATCAGAAATCAGTTTTATGAGACTGTATGTAATACATGTGTACCAGACAAGCTGGTAGCATAATTGATTATTAAAGCTGACTGACGTTTTTCAGGAATGCGATTGTAGTTGCATAAAACTTTGCCAGACTTGAACTCTTTAAAGAGAAATTTTCCATAGCAATGTCTGCCTCTGATTAATGTTTATATATAAAATTACAACTAAAACAGTTTAATGGGCTTGCAGACAGAGGCTGGGAGGGAGGGGGGTGAAGTATTATTTTGTCCTCTTTTCTTCCCCCCCCAACAGCTCCAATACCTTTATGCTTTGAAATTAAGACATAAAGTTTAGCAAGCGTTGTGAATTTAATTTTGCTGTCCTGTGAAAATCCATTCGGATTTGACAAAGATACATGGCTTTTAGGGAAAGAAAATGAAGTTTGTAAATGTTTACAGGATATTTCTTATATTTTCTTCACACCTAAGTTCCCTGAATAATCCATCTTAGAAAGTACAGCCCAGGGCTGATATGAATTTCCTTGCAATTACTGTTCTCAGCTGGTGCAACTTACAAGACAAAACATTTCAGCTGTGAGCAAAATGCTAATGTTTTCTATGTTAATGACCTTTTCTGCTTTCCCCTCCCTACACCGGACCCAAGTGGTCTGAAATGTCAAGCTGATTTGACCATAATAGCAATAGAACGGAGCAGGAAGAATGGATTTAGAGAAGGAGGGTAGTGGAAACTCATTTGAGGCTGGTAAAAAAAGAGGGAAAAACTGAGGTTTGGAAACTGTAGGCTTTGGTTGACTGGAAGCTAGAGTTACTTAACATGATTTGATTCATCTTCTATACACTGAGGGTAAAGTGCTACCTACCTCAGAAGGACTGTGAGAGCCTTCCTGAGACAGATAGTTGGGGCTGAAACTCAGGTGTACAAAGGAAAGAAAATTTGGACTAGCTGATTACAGACCTGGGCCTGGGTGTCGTGACTTCTCAGAATCCTGTTACTTGGCTTCACTTCGCTACTAACTGATACTTCCAGTTCTGTTACTCTCATTTCACATGGCTTCTATTGGTGAAATTTTCAGGGGGTTGCTTGCTGTAGCATTAAAGGACAAAACTAGACCAGAATCTTGTACGTATTTTAACTTGTTTTCTGTACAAAGAATCAAGAGCAGATCAGAAGAGACTTAATCAGGGGAAAAAATCTATTTCACCACTGGGGGATATTTCCCCATTTTCTACTCCAAATATTTTTAGACTTAAAAAAACCCCAGGTAAATTGTATTCAAAACTTTATTTTTTTTAAATCCCACCATGGTTCTAGTGATGGTACACACTGTACACAAATCAGAAAGATGAATCCTTTCTTTTTAAAGGTTCAGCAAACTGATATATTTCAGATTTTCCTCTTTATAAAGACAGTTAAGAAACGGAATTTAAATTTTAATTCAAAGCTGTTTGGCATTTGGTCTTGACTTCCTGGGTAAAAACGTAAAGTCATTATCTATCCTGGGGGGTGTGCAAAAATGTCTCCAAGTTTGAGGATACATGCAGAGTATTATGCATATTAATGTTTAATTATGACTGTAAGCACTTAAAAAAAAATTGATTACCCATTTTAATATCTGTTCCTGTATTAATGATTTATGTAAGAGAAGCCATTAATATGGACAAGGTCAGAAGAACAATATTTTACAATACATACAGTATAATAAATTTATTTTAAAGATCAACATATTAAGCATCTTAAATTTACATACTATTCTGCCTGTGGTTATCTCTGCATAAGTAAAGAGGCCAAGCTGTAGTATCTTAAACACCCATTATTGTGATCCTTATGAGGGTGGATTGGTGGTTTTGTGATGGAATTTTAATGCACGTTTTATTGACAAGAATAATGGCAACAGACAAAAATGTATGACTGCTGTTGCTTTTTAAGTTTCTATGTGGCTTATAACTACTTAAACTTCAAGAAGTCTTGTAATTAAAATGGGAAAAAAAGCACAAAACAAAAAACCAAAACCCCACCCTGTCATATTTATATGTAGGTTTTGTTATTTGGGTCTACTTTGCAGACAAACATATGAGCTTAGGAGACAACTTAAAGGAACTTGGAAGAGCAATGGCTGGAACAGGAGAAACTAATACAGAAAGCAGTGGTGACTTGAATTTCTTCAGCATCGAGCAAGCCAAAGCAGTCATTGATTATTTGAATATCAGGTATTTATTTCTACAGGATCTGTTCTTATTTGAATAATTTACAGGGTCTGGAAATGGCTGGTAGAGTAAGTTAACATTATTAATTGGGTATATTAATACTGCACATGCCAACATAAGTGCACACACCATGCTACAAAACATTAAAAAGAAGAGAGAATACGCAAGTAGAAGTACAGATCTAGCTTCATATGTCAAAGCCCACTAAATACATTTAGACTGGAAGTTTATCAAACGTGAGATTATGCTGAAAAGCTTCCTTCTGGGCTTTGTTTCAGGTGATTAAAAAAAAAAGGGGGGGAGAGTGGTGTATAGAGAATATTCTTGATTTTCTTTTAAAGCATTCTACTTTTACATTCCAGCTGAATAAAATCCTAGGTCTTGTCTATAACTTTAAGTATTTTTCTGGCCTTTACAGCTGTAGTGAACTTCTTAAATGTTTTAAAGTTAGGTGCTTTACAGTATTAAGTCTATGGTCATATAAGAGTCATAAAAATGTTGCATTTCAAAATTAGCAAAAGTTCAGTATCTACATGAAAAGATTTTGTGACAGGTCTCAGCTTTTAAACTCTTTTTACAGAAAAAGATACAAACAGCAGTAATTCAATTATGTGTCTGAGGAAAAAAAGAAAAAGGATCTGATAGCAGCCAATCGTACCTCTCCATGTAAAGTCTTAACTGTACAGTAATGTATACAGACCTTTCTCCACTGAAATAACATAGCTAAGACAGTGGCTATACTCATCTATCTCTGATTCCACTACATGATAGATGGCATGCTTCTCAAACTGTTGTATCATGAATGAATGTTGGGGATGTAGAGATGGCAAATTGGAAAGGTACTATTGTAATATATGCTCATACAATGTACTACATCTGTAGACCTTCAGCCAATTTTTTGACCTGAGCAGTGATTAGAGCGAGGTTTTCTGGCAGATGGGCATAAAAAGTGAGGTCATGACGGCTAGAAAAACAAGTCAAAAAGGTTCTTTTAGAGTGTTTTCCTGGGTGCATTTCCTCTTGAAGTATTTCCTCTTGAAGATGGATGGATGGATGGATGGATGGATGGATGGATGGATGGATGGATGGATGGTGAAGATGGACAAAAATAGTAGGATTTAAGGTACTCGAATTCTTTAGATTTAAACCCATCACAGGCAATTTCTCTTACAGTTGGGCTATGTCTCTTTCTCCTGCTCTGATTTTTTCTTTTTTTTTTTTAATGGAAATATAAAAAACTTCAGGTTCTTCCTGTAGAAATGAGAACATCTCTTTAAATCTCTAATTTCTGTAGTCAAGGCAAACCAATGTCCTGCCAAGCACTATCCCTAAACTAAAAGGAAAGTTGGCATTTAAGTTGTCTCACTCAAACTTCTTTTACTTCTCCCTTCCTGCCTGAGCCTTTTGTCTATTTATTTGGAACAAATTTTCTTTCCAAATACCATGTCTATAGGTCTTGCATAAATTATCCATTCAGAGATATCTTGTCCATGAAGTAATTCCTACACAGTTACAGTATTTTAATTCAAGAGATTAGGTGCTCCATCCTACTATCACCAAAGTATTAACTGGGTGGGAATACAATAAAGCCACAAGACTTTTGCAGCAGAATGGTATTTTTTCCACTGAATATGTAGATGTAAGCTCAAACTGCTCAATTTATTACAAGTATATGCTGTTGCAAAGTCATGGATTTATACACATACTCTGAAATCTGTTGTATGTGTCTAGTTCATACAATCAGTAATCTCAGTAATTTGAATATTTTTCTTCTAAATAAGAACTGAATCAGCACACTTGTGTGGGGTGTACTTTGACCTTTATGAACTCAGAAATAGATTGACTTAGTTTTATTACAATTAAAATTAATGTATTACTTTAACATTTTTTCTTGTTCTTCACTTTTTTTTTTTTTTTTTTGCTTAATTTTAAATGGTAGGCCTATAGCTTCTTTCCTACTAAAGGTAGTATGACATACTTTAGTTCAGATCACATTTTTACAGATGAGATGTAAACCCAGGGGATAATAATGGAAGTGAGGACAAATACTTAACCACATTGGCACAAACTGTGCAGCAACTGTAATGACACCTTCAGGTTTGGTGAAAGGTGACAGTTATCATCTTTTTATCTTGTCTCCTTGGGCAAACACACATCAACATAGCTCTTGACATTTTCTTTCAGGAAACAGTGGAGCTAGGGAAATATGTCATTGTTAATCACCTTCAGATTCTCATATGACATCATAAGAGGGGTCTATCTTAATCTTACTTGCATGGGTAAAATTTTAATTGAGTAATTGCTAAAGACATTGGTATAGATTTTTTTTAATTGTTCACAACAAACAAAAGCATTTATATAATGATAGAAGAAAGAAAACTACACTGTTGTTTCAGAATAAATTCTGATGTATCATTTACGTGACTTGATTTAAAGAGTGTTAAATGGAGGAATTCTTTCCTTGATGCAGGATTAAGGGTGCCAGGTTGAACAGAGTTCTGTTTAAGAATAAATTAATGAAATTCAGAATTGCTAAAAGTGCTAACTTGTATTTTGGGGAATATTATAAATTATCTGTACCTGCAACATAGTCCATAAGAAATATTGTAACACATTTAGATGGGAAGAACTGATTTTTAGGTGCTGTAAATCTGCCTCATTTCCAAGGCACTTTGAAATGTGAAGTTCTGCTAGTGCAGTTTGAAAGATATATCTTATTTCTTGTGTGTCTGTCACGTTCATTAAAATATTTTTTTTCTATTTCAAATAATCCCTGTTAGAATTTTACCAAATAATAGGTGTGTATGTGAGGAGGCACGTGTATTTTCATAAACTGGTGTTAGTCGTTTCCAGGTTAAGTCCTGAATTCTGCTTAAACATCATTCCTGTATCTCCACTGAATCATGGCAGGAATTCTTTGGTGGAGTAGTGCAATAAAAATGTACTGCAAATGAAATGGCAAATATTGTAACAACTTAATTCATTGCCTGCATTGTTTGGAGTAAGAGAGCTTGTAGTTTATGGTAGCCGAATTTCTTTTGCAAGTTGGTAAAAAAAAAATAATTGTTTTTTAACTAATTGTAATTGAATGACTGAATTAAGTGTAACTGTAGAATAAAACTTTTTATGTGGCACATAGAACCAAATGTTCAATGAGGCTGCAGTAATACTTCTCAACAAATTAGGAAATGTACATATGGGCAAAAATGTTAGTGCCCATTTGGGTAAAAATGCATTTGAAAGTTTCACAGACACATTTGACTAACTACTGGAAGATGTACTGTTGTCTTTTAAGAGAGGCAGACCATGCCACATTTTATTCTTCTAATTCCAAGCTGCTCTCATGGGTTAGAAAAACTACTGATGTACATTAGAAGGCTGAAATTAAAGCAAATCATCTCTGGTTTTCAGTACTTCATGGAACCTCTCGTACTGTGGCATGTGGCATCATGTAAACACTAATGATGACCAAGGGAAGGACAATAAGTTAAAATAGAGTGTACTGAGCATCGACTACCACATCTGGCTTTTCTGTTTTACTTGCCAGAGCCAGGATTGTGTTTCAGATACCTGTGCCTCACAACAGCAGCCTCTCATTTTGCATGCAGGTGGCTGGTTGAGCCCTTCTGCCAGCCATATGGGGATGTGAGGCTGCTGGGTGAGAGAAAAGCTTCAGTGCTGTAGGGCAGCCAGCCACGGTGGCACCTGCAGTGGCTGGCTCCCTGTGAGGCTTAGGGAGCACCATGTGTCAAGGAGGAGCCCGTGCTGGTTTGTGTGGCCAGGCACTGGTATTGTAACCATGCTTCCACTGCATTAGCATGATATTCTGCTGCTAGTAGCAGTGTCTTTAGCCTTAGATAATTGTACCTGTTGGGTATACTAGTTACTTTCATAGACCCATAGAAAAATTGAGGTTGCAAGGGGCATCTAATTCTGGAGGCCACCTAGTTCAAAGCCCTCCTCACAGCAGGCTTCAGTATTCCAGCTGTGGTCTTGCCAGTGCCAAGCAAAGAGGCATTGCTGTCCCAGTTGATGGCTCTTTTAAGTGAGGAACCTCTGTCCTGTCCTTGGTTGGAAAGCACAGGAACCAGTTACAGCTATTCCCTTCAAATATTGCTGTGTCTTTCATGGGTGCATCAGGCAGAGAGCGATAAACTCTTGTAATCATTCTTCAGCCTGGACTTGCTATGAAATCACAGAGCTATGTTTTAAATCATATGTCAAAATGACATGGAAGAAGCCAGAAGTTCTGTATCGTGATTTTAAGAGAACAAGTAATTGTAACAGATTGCCTGTGGAACACCAAACCTTTGATTAAACAAATGTAATATCATTGATCATTAGGAAAGGGAACAGGAAAAATTATTTAGAACATGTGAAAAGGAAAGCTGTGTATGTTTTAAGGCAGATAAATATTTTAGGGCATTGACAAATCTACTTAAAGTTACTTTCTTTGGAATGCACAAAACTCCAGTGTGTCAGTCTAGTTCTTTAGTTTTAATTTGAGGAAATACTATGGTGATTTTGCAACATGACCTTGAGAGAATAAATGGTTCCATTCTTTATTGTTTTGGTGTTCCAAGATCAACTTGATCCCCAGACTGTCAGTCCATCCCAGAATCTGAAAGCTGATTTGGCTTTGTTTATTACTTTTTTCAGAGTAGAACTGTCTTCTCAGAATTCAATTTCGTAAGGGCAGAGCAGATGCATTTTGAAGTATCTTCCTGTACTTTTTTATGGCCATATGATAGTAAATGCTGTAAATTAAATAGTCTGCTTTTTGTACTTAGGTTAAACAACCAATTTTTTTTTAAAATTGGAGTATTACCATGCTGAAGAATAACTCTTAGTTTAACAGAATTTTTAATATTATTACCTTTCCAAAGATTTACAGCTGTAATAGTACTATATTCTCTTGTTTTCCAGCTTATTTAAACACTATAAACTGTATGAATACTTATTCCATAGTCCGAGAGAAGAACTTGTGACAAGTAATGAGGTAAGTCATTTATATAGATGGAACTCATTATGCAGAGTTATTTAATGAATGCACTGTAGCATATGTTTTATATTGCTCAAAGCAACTTCATGTCAATGTTACTGTATTGCTAGCGTAAAATGGCTGATTAAAGAATACAAGTTAGATGGTTTGATCCTTATAGTCAGAATTAATTTTGGATTTCAAAAAAGTGTAAATGCATTGCTTGGTTAAGATGTTAGTTGCATTAAATCAGGAACACTTTTGTGTATGTATTTATAAGCAGATGCATGTAATTTCAATTAGCAATGCATGAGTCTGACTTTCAAAATCAGCAATCAAAACCAGAAAAGGTTGTGTTCCAAGCCTAGTCTGACCACAGTCCTAATATTTATGTACTCATGTATGTAAAGAGTTTCGTTCCTCCAACAGTTAATTATACTGACTGCAAGGAAACAAGCTAGCTAGAAACTCAGCATATTGAAAATGTTCAATTAATGATAGTGAAATGGTTGACTGTAAACTTTGTCATGTATTCTAACTTAGATGTGAAAAAAATACATAGGAACATGCACTGATGCAGGATGTGGTCTTCAATCAAATGGACAGATTCAATTAATCAAATAAACCTTTCTTTAGCCTGACTGTGCATTTTGAGGGTATATGTTAAAATACATTGAAAAGCATTTACATTTATAATTTATATTAGGAGACAACTGGTTGCTCAGAGAGGCATGGTAGTGGGATTTTTTTGATGGCACTTAAATTTTAGTTTATCAGTACACAGTGAAGTTAAAATTAATCCACTGGAAAATTTTCTTCACACTTTCAAGCAGGTGATATTAATGAAGTTTCATTTCATCATCAAATGATAATTTCTTTTTGTGTTATTTTAAATAACTATATTATAAAAAAGAACTTTCCTTCATATGGATGCAAATATTTGGAAATTATTCTCATCATTTGTAAGATGGATTACAATTCCGTGATGAAATCAGTGACAAAGCTGTCATTACATAAATAGAGCAGGACTTCAGTGTTACTCCATTAGGGTTATTTTTTTAGATTAGCTAATCAGATCAGTGGCTGGTTAGCACTTTCTAATTGGCAAAACTGTTTTTAATAAGGTTTTGATTAAGTGATATCTTGGGCAAATTTGAGTAATGCATCTTATCAGTTGTAGACTAGCTTAAATGAAATGTCTTTGTGTTTTCTTAAAACCCATTTCTGGGTGACTGAGATCAGTGTACACTGTCCCAGCCATAGAAAAATGTTTGTTCTGCACAATCTGTCTGCTGGAGAGAACCACCTCTGCTGAAGGTACCACCTCTACTAGGAATAGCAGAAATGTGTTTCTTTGAATTATTTTGGTGATGATCCATCAAAATAACAAGTGCGATCTACAGTTATAACTGTCGTGAAAATCCTCATGACTATTTTTAGCCTTTTATGGCCTTTTCTTACCTATGCGACAGTTCAGTTCTATCCATCTGTTCTGTATTCTGAGTTACATGGCAGAAAGTCTTTAATTTGTCCAGCCGGACTGCAGTCCCAAGAAAATCAATAATCATATTCCAGTAGAGTTTATTCTGATAGGGTGATGCATTGTTCTCCAATGAGTAACAGTTTAAGGCATTGAAACTACACATACAAATTTATGGTACTATTTGCATTTGCTTTATGTGTGAAAATGTGATGGGAGGTGAACCCAACATAGACTTCAAGTTCTTTTGCTACAACTTTATAATATTTAGAAATTCTTATCCATAAAGGAAAGCATTACCTTCTGTGTTTGCAGTCCCTTAGACTATCAGCTGAAACCCTGATGAGTCAGTGGGGCTGCTGTGGTTTGGTGGGGTCAGCTATGGCAGGAGTGTGCCTGGAATCGCGTGCTCTGCAGCGCATCTGCTCAGGGAACAGAAGTAGGCAGGAGATCAGCCTGGAAATATACTTGGTGAAAGCAGGTGATAAATCTGTGCTGAAAGGCTGACTGCTGTCTTGATATGTAGATCAATATCTTGCTAAAAGAAAAAAGCCCATGCAGGCACACCATGGTCCTCAGCTGGATGTTATCCTTACTCTAAGCTGAGTGCTGCTGATGTCTAAAAGTTTTGTTTTAGCTCCAGCAACAGAAGTCTGTCCTTTTGGAACAGGGGACTGTAAATTGTACTGGTCAGATTTGTCAAAATAACAAAGAACCATGGTTTTCCAAGACCTTAATTACAGTATTATCTCCTTTTGCAAATAAAGGCTTTGAGACAAGTCAGTGCAATGACTTGCTTTAACTGAAATTATTCGCTTCAACTGAAATGGCTTGCCTTAGCTCAGTGAGTAAATTTGTGCTGTGTGTGCCAAAAGTAGTACCTACAGAATAAAAGTCAAATAGCCTAATGAGAAGACCTGCTTCTTTAAAAGAGATGCAGCTTCACCAAGTAATAGCAGTACTGTATGTTGTAATGGATACCCTTTTAGAGAAAACACGGTATGTGTTTTCCAGAGAATATTACTGTGATGGATTGTAAACTCATTGGATTTTATTTTTTCTCTAACACAGGCAATTATAACAGTGTTCTCAATCAGGTTTCCTTTTTGATCTTTCACTGCAGTAATTTCCAAATGACCCTGTCATTTCCTGTGTAGGATAAAATCAGACAAGAAAAGGGAAATGACTCAAAACTCAAATTATGCATGCAATATCTGTGGCCATGCCACTTAACAAAATTTAAGTTACTGAAATATGGCAGGTAATTAGTGGAGCTTCACAGTCTGATTAATATTCTGTGTTTGATGCAGCCAGCATAATAGAACCACCTTTGTAAAATACAGACAGTATTTAAGCCTTTAAAAAAAAGTAACAAATGCCTGTCTAATTTAAATATATTTTTACATTGGCTAAAGCCTTTAAACCAGACTGCCTGAGGTGATCATATTGCCTACAAAAAAAAAAAAAAAAGGTTAAAATTGAAAGACATGAATGCTTGGTTAGATGATAAAACACATATCGCACATCTAACCTACTTCAGCAGTATTTAAAATTTAAAACTTGCCTTTCTAGCTATCAAACCACTTACTTCTCCTTCATTCCAGATCTACAAAGACCTATGTATTATGTATGCATGAATACCTGTTAGAAAACAAGATGGTACAAGGAATTGCTGAGAAGTGTTAAGATTGCCAAGTAAATTCGTTGTTGGGGTTTTTTTTTTTGGTTTTTTTTTGGTTGGTTTTGTTGGGGTATTTTTGTTACTGTTATGAGCAGTTCCCCACATTTAGAATGATTACAGAAGCAGCAGTGCTTTAGCTGTTCTGTGGCTGTGATCCAAAATAAAATGCGTGTAGCGCTGATGTACCAGAGTTCTTCAGGAATATTATTGTTAAAGGTGCTGTTTTTAACTTTTGCCCATTCTGAAGGTTTTACTCTCTAGCTGTGATTTAGTACACCTATATTAGCTTGCAGTTTTAAAGAGCAAAAGGAGTACAGACTAAATCTCTATGTGCAGAGATTCAGTGAAGCAATTCCTATTAACATGTCACAACTTATAACAAAGTTTTAAATTGTTAATACTTGTATTATGTAGAAGCCTTTCTTTTTCTACTTCTATGTTAATTCATTTTTGCTTTGATAGGATGATATATTACAGCACATCTTGTATTTTTTTCTCACATTTACAAATTGTACTTTATACTGCAGTTCATGTTTTTGCTGCTCTCTGTTGTGTATTTTTGGATGGAATGAGACTAAGGTCTTTTGGGATTATGTCTGCTTTGAAACATTTCCTAATAAAAATAATGTGGTTGGTAAATCTAGTTTTATTCCTAGTTGCTTTAGCCAGCCTGACGGAGTAATCTGCTATTTTATGGCCCAGATGAGTAGCTAAGTTTGACTTCTTGAAATAGTAGTGTACAATGTAATTTTCTTTAGAGATGTCATACTGGGTCAGGTTGCAATAAAAATATCGAAGATTAAGTTTAATGGCAGTGCAGAATCAGTATTATAGCAGTTACTAGATATCATCCTCTGTACTTAGAGTTCCAAAACTGTTTCCATTAATGCCTTCTTTCCATGTAGTCCTTACTTTCTGAAACATTAAGCTTTCAGACTATGTCTGGTCTTCATCCAGTTGTGGGTTGGTTTGGTTTCTGGGTTTTTTCTTTTTTTTTTTAAAGTTTGAACAAAATCCCTTCTGTGTTTGAATATAAGAGGGTTGTTAGGAAGAATATATTATTGGAGGGCTAATAAAGCTTTTTTTTTTCTGATGGCAAAAGCCCTGAAGTCTGGGACTTGACTTTGATATGTAATCCTCATTAGGTGTTGCATATTTAGATTGGTTAATCAATCATTTTTAAACAAATTTGCTCAATGATTTCTCAAGAACTGCATTTTAAAGATGTATGAAACCAGAATATTTACATAAGCATATCAGTTCACACTAGAGAGACTCATTCCCCAGCTAACGGAGTGCATGTTCTTCAAAACTTGGAGGTTTCAGATACTTGTAATGCTTAAAAACCACTGAGTAGATTTTCTGTAGCTTTGTTTTGTAAATATCACCATGGCAAAAACATCAAGACTACTTTGAAGGAAATAAGAGCACAGGACTGGAAGGGACCTCGTCAGTTGTCAGCTCTAGTGCTATTTTCTTGTAGGAAAACATACAAAATCCTCTTCAGAAACTTGTCAAACTCTGGTTTAAAAACTTAATTTTTTTGTCTTTGCTCTTCCAGTCAGAAAGCTGCCCTAGTGCCTGGTTTCTGTAATGGTTATAAAACTTCTAGTTTCCAGTCTAAGTGTATTCATGACAAGCTTATGTGCATTTCTCCTTGTAACAATTCGTGCCAGCACTTACTTTTAGTTCTTGTTCCATCCCCAGTGTTTATTTTTCTAGTGCATAAAGAGACAGCCATCTTATTGTGAGCCTTCATTTAGCTAAACTAGAAAAGCCAGCCTTCTCTAATCTTTGTTCATAAGGTAGGCTTTTGATGCATGCATTCTTACATTCTTAAGGTAGGCTTTTGATGCA